AAGAGAGACTACAGCAGTGGCAAGAAAACCTGCAACAATGGCAGCTCGAACAGCAAAATAAACAAGAGATTACAGCAGTTGTTGGAGGAAAAAGAAACAAGAAGTACAAGAAGAGAGATTACAGGAGTGGCAACTGGAACAAGAAAGGAAACAGGAAGAAAGTTTCGAACAGTTGCAGGAAAGTCAGCAACAACTACAGGAAAGTCAACAACAGTGGCAAGAAGTACAAATGGAAAACATTAGCAAAGTTCAGAGCGAATTAAATACATTAAAGAATGATTTACTGTCTTTTACACTAGGAGGATATATTAGCCATCGACCTGATCAGCCTCAGACAATGGGAAGCCACTTCCAGACCCCGCAGCTAGACCCTAATGCAGACATCTTCAGTCCTGTTAGAAGTCACATCCCAGATATGAATGTCAGCAATAGGGGTGATCTAGTATGAAGGAAGCCTCAGGAAATCGATGGCAGAGATGAATGGGTGGAAAGAGGAACAGAAAGCAGTATATCTGGCAACGAGCCTGAAGGGACAACCACTGGAAATACTTGGACAGTTGTCAGCAGATGATAGGCAAAACTATAGAGCACTGGTAGCTGCTCTAGAGCTCAGGTATGGAACTCAAAATCAGTCCGAAGTCTACAGGGCTAGGTTTAGGACGAGAGTCCATGCTGAAGGGGAGAGCCTGCAAGAGCTGGCACAGGACTTGGAAAGTATGGCACACAAGGCTTACCCAACTGTACCACCAAATCTCCTCAAGTTGTTGCTGAGGGATCAGTTTGTAGATGCCTTGGGCAGTCCACAACTAAAGATACAAGTAAAGCAAGCACACTCCTCTACTATGCAGGATGCAATGGCCAGAGCTCTTGAATTTGAATCCTATGTTAAGTCCATCACAGAGGTATCAGGATTGGTACAGTCATCAGGATTCAAGGCCAGAAAAGGTCAGCTTTCAGAGAGGTTTGAGGGACTTTGTTGGCACTGTAATAAACCTGGACACAAGAAAGCTCAATGCTGGAAACTTCAATACAGGGAAGATGCCATGGCAGGAAAGGCTGCTACCCAGAAAGGTTGTTGGAACTGTGGAGAGCAAGGACATATGAGGAGCAAGTGTAAGAAGAATATTACCAATAAGTTAGCCTCAAGGAAACCAGTAGTGGTTCGTGTTGATGGACGCCTACCAACCCCAATTGTGAAAGTCCCAACAGCTAAGTGTATAATGCCAAGCACACATAGTGTCTATGTGACAGGAAAGCTGGATAGCCAAAGTTGCAACTTAGTCATAGATTCTGCATTTCAGCAAACCCTCGTGAGTATCAAGATGTTAGATCACAAAGGAGTACCAGAAGCCATGCAGAAGCTCTGTGGTGTGGCAGGACATTATGCAAGGCTATGGGGACCAGTGTGGGTAACTATTGAGCTCATGGGCATGAAGGATAGACACAGAGTATACTTGGCTGATATTGAAGACCTATGCATATTAGGATTGGACTACTTACTACCGAGAAAGTTTGTAATTAATTTTGAGATGTACGCTTTTTTTGTATATATCAGACCGGTAAGAAGTGACGGCAACAATGGGTTTGAATTACAGTCAGAGATAGAGACGGACAATTGAGTCAAGTGCGTGAATCGTTCGTTGTGAATTGTAGCGTTTGTTTAAGTTAAACTGACTGTGGGAATTAAATGTATTGCAAAGTTGTATTGAGAAAAAATTAACTAGTTTTATTTAAGGAAGGACTTGTATTGCTGAAGTTTTTCGGAAAGAATTTCTACGGAAAATTAACAAACGAACACCGAGACGTACAATATGATCTTTTCATCAATTACCCCATAGAAAAGTAGATAGGTGCCGTGACTTGTTCACGCTACAGAAAGTAACATACATGATCTCGATGGGATTTAGCATGTTCCGAATTCTTACTTTAAAATCATTTTACAAACATTAAATATATATATATATATATACGGTCAAGGAGCGAAATGTGTATACAATGGCACGTAAAAGATTTAAATCCTTAACTATTTACCTGTGACATCGTAGAATATTGTTCATTTCCGTTTTCCATTTATTGAAAAGTTTTAGACCAATTTTAACGACCAAGAAGTATTAACAAAAGACGCATATTTAAAAATGGAGATTAAACTTAAATGATTTTTTTGGAAATTTTGTTCATAAAAGCAAACATTCTTTTATTGAGTTAATGCTAGAATTTTATATTTCTCTTTTTACTTAATTTTTTAGAATTATAAGTTTTTTTCGAAGCAGTTATTTTAAGGGAAATATTTGATTGTCTAGTTAGCCATACGGTCATATGTTCTTTAGTCTTAGTTTACGAAAATTGTGAAGTTTTAATGTGAAGTTTAAGAAGTTTATTGTGTTCTTCCTCTTATTTGTTATTGAACTCATTTCTTGTCATCGCTAATGGAGTGTGCACTGAAATTCTTTGAAGTATTTTTCCAGAATAGTTAATTAACAACATATAAATCAAAAGAGGCTATGAAATGATGATTTCAAGGGGAAAACTTAGAAGTATCGCAGAGGTTTGTGCTGATTGCACTGCCCCAGGTTTGTACTTTACATTATAAAAGTTTATAAATATAATTGTTTTATATTTATAATAATCTATTATTAATTATTTATGTTGTTTTAACTATAAATATAATAAAGTAAGTTATACTTTTGTAATTTGTTAAGTTCAACTTAATTAACACTAACATTAGATTTAGACTAAGTTTTAAATTTATCACAGGGATATGTATTAAGATAGATAACTGTCCCCTTGATAATAGTTAAAACTTAAAAATCTAAAACTAAAACCTCAGAGTATAATGTTAGACTAAGTAATACAGTCATGTAACTCGTATTAATATAAATAAAGTAATAAATAATTTTAAACTAAATGACTTATGACAGTTACTGTTCGGTGCAAGCTATTAAAAACTAAAAGTTTGTGCAGATTTTATATGCAATTGGTCTGGATAAGGATTAAAATCTCATGCAAAGCCAGAGAAACTTAACTTTTCTCATTTAACAAATGTAATTAGGTATGTTGAATGCACCAAAGTGCTCAATTTTTTTTCAACTTCTTCCAGGCAGGGGGGGGGGGAGCATGTCTCCAGACCATCAAGATGATACCACACCTTTGACTTGTATGGTTATATACATATTTCACTCTCAACCCCTGACCCTTGGCATCTCTGTATGTATAAGAACTAAAATTAATGTATTATAGTGTAACAATACCCATTAGTGTGAAATGTTTAAAGAAAGTGTTCCCCAAAATGTAGACTGGTTCTCATTTTAATTTTTACTGATGATTTTCATTTACTTCATTAAGATCCAAATGTACCATACTGTGACTGTGTAAGCAAAACATGAGTGTTCAGTCAGCTGGTGTAAAGTGTAATGTATATGGAAAAACTTTCAATAACAGAAAATATTAGTGTGCCATAATAGTAATTTATTATCTAATAATGCTAATGCTACAATTATTGCATTTTATACTGTATTCCATTCGAATGTCTCACATGTAATCAATTTAATAGTATTGTTAGTGTTCATATATTTTGCTGACTCCTATTTGAAATAACACAGATTACAGTGAAATTGTCCAGTTTTTAATTTTAGTTAATTGTAAGATATTCATTGGAATGTAAAGTAAGCTTTGGTACATATCTAAATGTTAAATGTGCAATATTATGGTGCACTTTGGGGTGAGAAATTGTTTTGAAAAATAGCTGCCTTTTGCATTTGTTGATAGGTATTAAGTTATTTAACCAAAACAGTAGGTTAGTTGAGTTACTTTGCTATGTCTGTTTGACTAGGATTGCACAAGTGTTAGTATTCAAGTCTTTTAAGAGCTTCATTAAAATGTAAGCTTTAAGGATATAATAAGATTGTTATCTAATATTATCCAATAACACTAATGTGTAGAAGGTTTTTGCTTTTTTTATGTAGTAGCACATAATGAACAAAACCACTAAACAAAACAGTTGGAAAACAAAGATTTATTAATTTCAGCTAAACAACATTATTGCCCAATCTTTTTTTAGCTTTAAGGATTTAATAAGATTGTTAACTGATATTATGAGCTTTTTAGTATGTAAGGCTTACAGTGATTGTATATTTGTTAATGACTTCACCTTGAATATGAATGTTCTAATTATATTTGTACATTTTTTTACTAGGATATAATTAGTCCATTCCATACCATCCTTGAAAATATTCATGTTCTTCAATTGTGGTTTTTTTTGTTGTTGTTATAAAGTTAATAATAAAATGTTACAATCAAAAAATTTAAACTTGGTCAATGAGATGAATATGGTACTCCAGTACTTCTTGTCTTTTCAGAATAACCTTATATGCTTTTATTGTTAAACCATAAAAACATTGTTTTATTGTGGGCTTATATGCAAGGAAGATACAGCATGGGAATACACTACATTTTAAGAGCTTGCTTACTTGAGGAAAGTTGGAGGTATCTTTGGGGGAAGGTTGTGCTATCAGAGAGTGAAAATAATAGGTTGTGAGCAGAAATTAAGGAAGCAGGACATAATGCAAATGTGAGTGCTGGGTTCACAACAGTATCAAAGTTAAGGTTAGAGATAAAGGTTCAATTAACATTTATTTAGCTTCTAATAAATTTGAACCATTGACAGCATGAAGTGAGGAATGAGATGATCAAGAGGTTTATGTCATTAAGTATATAGATAATGTTATTTGTAGTGGGAAGAATAGAAATACTAGAATTAACATTTGCTTGCTAGATGCTAAAGTGCAGGGTCATTTAGAGCGTGTTAACAGTTTAATTGCTGATACCAAGTAGCATTCACTTTTTATAGTGCATGTAGGAGTAAATGATGTTGAAATCTGTAAATTGAAAGAGCTGCTCAAGAAATCTAAAGAACTCCTTCAAAGGGCAATGAGAAATTTTGAAAAGGTGATTCACAGCATAATTTCTCTATTTATAATGAAATTGTTTTCTTTCAGAACACCTTAAAAACGTGTCCCCCATTCATACTTGAAAATTTAACTTGCAACTTTCTAACAATTAAAATATTCCACCAATTAATATTCAATCCTTCTCTAAATTTCCTTTAATTACTTTCTATTCATTACTTCTTATTATTAAATTCAGCTCAATAAATTAGTCAAGTATTTCTACTCCTCAGGTTAAACTTCGTATTATCTTTAAATTGTCATCTTGTATTTGTAATGTATTATGAATGAAAACCCAAGCCTTAACAGAAATACCAACTTTTTTCCCCCTTGCTTTATTCAAATAGCATTTTTGGATGAATATTTTAATTTTCTTGCACAATTTCATTATATTTTAATGTTAATTCACTGTATTGAAGGTTTTTCCTATTGTTTATTCTCATAGATTTGCTGTTGATGTAATAGAGTAATTCCAAATTGTTCAACTGCTAAAGATGTTTATAGCTGTTATCTTGGCTCCACTGTTCATTGTAAGACTCAGCACATAGGGTTGATTCACTACATTGTGTATATATAGTATTTAAGTTAGACTGTCATTATAAAAATCAACATAAATGTGTGTATCTTGACATTCCTTAACTAAATAAATAACTTAAATCTGGATTTCATATCTAAATAAAAATTGAATGGCATAAAATAAAAGCATTTAAGCATTGCAGTTACAAACTAACAATAATTAAGTGTGCATTTTTGATTGTTTCTTAAAATAAAACTAGGTATATAATGATACACTTGCAAGATTGAGTACCTTATAAACAAAAAAACTGATTTGTTTTTCTGTGCTAGTAAACACTGACTAGTTCTTTCAGGCTTAACCAGCAAAAGAGTAACAAGTTAAAATTTTAATTAGCATTTTCCTAGGTTGTAAGCATTAAAAGTGTTCAATTTGAACCCTGTCTTCCAAGTTCCATGCAAAACTTTAAATGGAGAAGTTTCCAATATTTTAAGCAAGGAAGTAATTGAGATAGTTCTGAATGTATCGTCAGAGTTTTATTCTCATCTTTTGTTCTAAAACAAAAGTGACAGGATACCTGCTGTATATCTGTTCCTTCTTAATCAGTTTTTGATTTTTCTGTGTCAGTGTTTTTACTAGCTGTCTTGAGTTTTTTCTGTGGTTTGTTAATGGTATAGCTGATATGCCTAATAGGTATTTTTATATGCTCATTCATGTGAATGAGTGTACTTGCTAGCTTTTCTTGTTTTTGTATAATACGGATGATATGACATACAAGCGGAAAAGAGAGATCACTGAGTTTTTATACCTTACCTTGTTTTTTGAGTGTATTTTTTACCTCTACCATTCCAATATAGTACTGCCCCGGAAACTACTTTTTATTTTATTCTATGAAGCAAATCCTTTTAAATTGGAGTCTTACCCCTCAGGACTTATTTTACTTGTATATGCAAAGACTCTTACTAGCCCACTGTTTTGTGGAGAGGGACATGACATTGGGATCTTACTACAATTATATCTGAGCCTTTTGTTTCTACTAGTCGTTTATTTACTTAACTGTTTGAGATATAATGTAATGATGAAGTTATAGAATGTATTAAGTGGAAATCAAGCATTACCATATAAAAATGATGTTTATGTATGAATAGTCACATATAAGTTTATTAGTCAGTGAGGAGGTTGAGATTAGATACATTATTTCATTGAAATATGATTCTCAATCATTTTCTTTTCTTTCTTCTAACATACAAATCATTAGTTAGGCCTCATTTGCAATACGGTGTACGGTTTTATCTATAAAATTGAAATTGACTTACTGGAAAGGATACAGAGGAGAGCTATTAGGATGATTTGATAAATGAAAGGATTATCTCACAAAGGTATGTTAAGAACTCATCACTTATTTTATCTTGAGGAAGGACAGGTATGAGGTGATTTTATCGTAGTTTACAAGATTATCTGGGGGATCGAAAAGATAAGGAATCTGATTTCTTTTTGCTGTATTCTAAAGACAATAGGATGAGAGGACACAAATTTAAGATTTGGAAAAGACAGGTTAAGTTCCAGATGAAATAGTTTTATTTTTCTAATAGGATGATTGGTTTATGGAATATGTTGCTGATGGAAACAGTGGAGGCCAACACTTTACATGAGCTTAAGAGGGGAAACAGTGATTTCTTGAAAATTAAAGGATTAGCTTAAATTTTTACATTTTCCAAGTATGGGTGTGTAAGAACATCCTTAAAGGACCAAATGGTTCCTTGTTGTCTATAGGTAAAAGTAAAGAAATTAACAGGCCTTACATCCATATGCTATGTTATAATTTTTTAAATGTGTGTAATATTAACTGGAAATTAACAGGCCAGACTTTCATATGCTATGTTATAATTTATTTCAATGTGTGTAACATTAACTGGAAATTAACAGGCCAGACTTCCGTATGCTATGTTATAATATTTTAAATATGTGCACCATTAACTTGACATAAACAGGTTAGATATTACTCAATATTATTGAAGTTATCAAATTTAACAACTGTAATAAGTGTCCCAGGAATGTCACACTTGATAAATGTTCACCCTAAGTTAAAATTATTCATATATACTTATAAATGAGCATAGCCCACACATTTGTATGCTTTATCTCTCAGTGTATATAGTTGTCAACTGTATCAACAGACTATTTCGTTTTATCAGCTTGCACAGACAAGTTGTTGAAATTTTTTTGTTTTCTATTATATTAAGTTATATTACTTTCTGTGCATATAATGTACTGCACCATGTAATATTTATTAGGTAATTTACCATTTAGCCTTAAAAACAAAAAGACAATTCTCGACTTCAGAGAAACAAAGACAACAAAAACAAACTGGTTGAAACACAATTTTATTATCTTATTTGTTCTTCATTCAGAATTTTTGGTGGTTGCTGCCTGCCAGTGTATTGTTACTTCCAGTTTTGAACAAGTACATCACTATTATTTATTTTAATCGTTTAGAGCATCTTCTCACAATGAAGATTTTTTTTCTTGTTATGGAAAGTTTCAGTGCTTAACATTCCAAGTAAGTAAGTACACCATATTTGAGAAATGTAGTTAAAACACACAGACTTTCATTGTTTTAATAGGTAGTTAAACTTGCTAATACATAATAATTTGTTTGTAGGTCAAACATGATGTACATGTTTGCAATCAGTATGATTACATTCAGATAAATTACTGTATCTTTGCATGTATGGTAGATATTGTTTTTTTGGTCTGAATTCCTAATTTATTCTTTTGTAGCATCCATTATATCATTTTATGTTGTGTGTAATTAATATAAGCTCAGGAATGATTTTGAAGTTGGGGCTGCTGGAGGATTAGTATAATATACATATTTTGTCCTCAACTACTGGGGGTTAAACTACACTTCATTCTCATTCTTGCAAGTCATAAGGCCCATAGTTTTAAAAACAAAAACATCATTCTGAACTTGAGAGAAACAACGACAACAAAAAAGAAACAATTTAAACACAATTTTATTATCTTATTTGCTCTTCATTCAGAATTTCTGTTTATTACTGTTCTATCAGCGTATTTAACTGGTGCTACTTACCTTACCTTTACACCAGTTATGATAACTTTAATTTCTTTCAGCTGCCTGAATTTATAATGTACATGTAAACATTCGAACACACATTCAGAAATTTTGTAAATTTGGCTTACACTTTCATTACATCTTTATGTTATGTTTGAAAACTTTTGTTATTAATGTTAAGTTAACCTTGCTGTTCTTTGAGATCTATCAATAACCACATATTTCTGATTTCTCCTGGAGCCCCATTCATCCTAAGACTTAGACAATGGAGGAGGAGGATTTCATTCCCCATCTATATAAATCCTTTTTTTAAGCAGTTGGTAATTACCTAGCCTATTTTTCAAACAGTCTACTCCTATATCCTGTCATGTGCTTTATTGCTACTTGTTTCATACTGAGCCTAACCTTGGTGCTCATCCCAATTTTTTCTCCATCATGATTATCATATTTATTACTCTTTTTATGACCTGGAAGTTTTTCTACTAATATCCTCTTTTCTTGTTTTGAAGAAGGTTACAATAACTTAAACCCAGACAGAATTTTTTTTACCTCTGTAGGTGGATGTTATACAAGTAGGTATGTGAATTGTAGGTCCAACCTTCTACCTATAGTATATGTCATTATTATCTTATTTTTTGTTGCTAGATCCTACTTGGGCTTTGCTGAACCGTGGAATTCTTGTATGTGATGAATGTTGCAGTGTTCATCGTAGTCTGGGAAGACATATTTCCCAAGTTAAATCATTGAAAAAGGGTGCTTGGTGTCCTTCTCAGCTGTCTGTAAGTATTTTTTTGTTTACTGAATAAGTTGAATCTCTGTTTTTATTAAATTAAAATATAAAATATTATATTTACATGTGAAGAGAAATTACAAAAAAGTATGTTGTTCTTGAGTTTTCTTTTTTTTCTGTAGTCATAAAAACAAATGTTATGCTGCATGTTTTTAAAACATCATTTCAGTGAATAATGTTCTGAATCTTTAATTTAAGACTATTCTTTCCTGTTCAGCTTGTATGCTTTAGAAATTGATTGACAAGTTGTTAGTATTTTATGAGTCTATGCAATTTCTGTACAGTACAATTTATTTTCAAATTTTTTTCAAAAGTTTAATTGAAGCATTAACTTGAAACCAACATTCTGTTGGTATTACACTATAAGCATGATTTTATATGGTAGTTTCATAATTGTATGTTAATGTAAACTGACTATATTATATTATACTGTAATATACAGGAATTTCTCAAAGTTTTTCGAAGTGCTTGACACAGCCCCTGAAGGTAAGTAAAGGCTGTGAAAGCCCCCATTAGGAACCAAATGCAGCCTTTATTGGGGTTTGAAGGAGAAATGCCCCTAAGTCTTTAAGTTTTGAGCATTTAGCATTAATAAAGCAATTAAATTTACCTAAAAAATTAAAGATGACTGCTTAATTTGTCTAACCCCTATAAAACTTTATTTCTCCCAAGTGAAACTATATCAAACTGACAGCTTTTAAAGAACATGAAATGCATTGATATTATATATTGAGGTATAACTTTTAAAAGTAGTAGTGCAATATAATCATAAATTATTTTGATGTTTTTGTTAACTGTCATCAAAAATATATTGTAACTAGTTAGTTTATCTTGGAATTTAACATTTCCCCTCCACCTTATTAATTCTACCTAAAGCTGAAGAAACACAGTTGTTTTTGACTTTTTGCTGAATTAAACCATGTAGGTTGTCATGACTTGCTATGAAATAGAACTCAGTTTGATACCCAGTCAGGTGACTGGTACTTATAGTGCTTCAGGGTCAGTACCGAGAGCAAAAGGCTGTAGGAATGTAACTCGGAAAGGAAGGTCATCTTAGGTCACAACAAACATGCTTTTTTTAATGACAGTACATTGGGGGAAACACTAAAAAGTATCAATATGATAATTGAGCATGAGGAAAAATAATGCTGCATCAATCCCATAAAATACTTTATCGGTAACATATGCTGGTGTGTATGTCTATTTTTTATTTCACCTATGAATATACGATGAGCTCACATTAAATAACACAGAATACTAATGAATACTGTAGCATAAATTATCCCAATAAGATAACAGAGCATTAAAGAAAATCATGTTGTATCAGTCCCTTGATATACTGGACCATCAAATGTATCTATAGTTTTTAAGTGTTGTATAAGGAGATATTTGTTTCTTAAAAACTGAAATATACTCCCACAGAACTCTTGACACTAAATTATGATTATTATTGAACTTGCCTTGCAGAAAGAGAACAATTTAAAATACTTAGAATTTTTGCACAGTCTTAGAAAAACAAAAAAGCTTTTACATAGTTAATGACAAGGAAGTAGGAATTTTCAATTTCTAGTACTGTTTATTCCAACTTTAGAGAGCTCATATTTATAAAACTTAGAATATCAGTGACTATAATAGCATAAGGTATGCCACCACCATCAGTAATATTTTGCAGTGCATTTATATTTTTTCATGGGATTATTGAATGTATATTTTGATACTAGGATTACTGTTAACTAGATACTTGTTAGGTTATTTTAGAAATGGCACATAAAAATGGCTGACACTTCTGCTAGGCTGTGATAGATTATTAAAATTTCTGCATAATTTCAGCTTTGAGGCGTTGAGTGCATTGTAATGTTGTTTTTTTGTTCAAAGACTGAAGAAACATTGTCATTAAAATAAGTTATTTCATATTAATAACACAGTTATTTAAAAAAAATAAAAAATAGTATAACACTTGGAAAATGAACTTATTTTAATAACCCATGAAAAAAACAAAAGAAAAAATACTTTTGTCTTTCACTAGCACATTTTGTGTGCATAAGTGACACCATTTCTACAAGGTATTTGTAGCATATATATAGTTTTGGTAATTTTTTTCCATTTAAAGTTAAACTTGTATTAAAAAGCAGAAAAATGAAAATATCCAGAGACTATTAAATGTATTAAGTTAATAACAACCTAAAGTAAATATTGTGTACAAACTAACTACTCCAGCATAATTTGGTGTGATAAGTCTAAAGGACATTTTTTTTCTGTAGCCTGACTTGATGAATTTCTATCACAAACAAATTCTACATCAGTTTGGTATTGATAAAATTAATATAACATAATAAATTTTAGGAAGGTATGATAACTATTCTTTGATTTCCAACTTTAAAAGTAGTTTTAAATTATAAAACTTTCAAAATATTGAAAAATAATTTAAAGTCTCAAAAATAATACATAAATTGTATCAACTCAATAGTTTGAGGTAAGATAATGTTTTAGTGATTTTTTGTAATAGTTCCTATGGCACAAGCTTATAAACAGTGATATATGTGTAATTCAAATTGCAATTACAGATTTGTTTTTCAATGGTAAAAGTACTCTCCTCTTTCTTTAATATTTAAAAATGTTGATACTCATATCTAACCATGCTATGAATTTGTGAATTTTAAAAGTAAAATTACTAGAATATTAATTAGTTTTTGTTAATTTTTTATTACTGTTTAGATGGTTCATGATCTGAGCAGTAGTGGTGCCAATTCCATTTGGGAATACACATTGCTAGATCCTGGTCCTTACAAAAGTGAACGAAGAAAACCAAATGCCAAAGATCCTCTTCAGTGAGTGAATTTTTTATTTAAAGTTTCATTCTTTTCAAATGTACTATAATGAGCAGTGTCTATATGGTGACTTATATATGTATTTAAATATTCAGAAATTTAGAAAACCAGATTGTTGTAAAGTATAATTTTAACATTACTGATTTGGTGTTGATGTCCATTTTGAGGTCATGAGTCATCATATTTTTTCAGTGTTATCAGTTTGAAATTAAATATTTGACATGCACTTTGTTATGCAGACCATTGCCACTATGTATGTGATAGCTGTGCAAGAAAAATGTTTGGTTTATTGTGATAAATTAAATTTTTCCTTGATGGTATGTTTCAAATATTTGTTCTGTGAAAGTACATAGTGTTAGAAATTAATAAGTGTTAAAAATACCTTGATGTGTGTCAAAAAAATTGTTACAGTACTTAAATATTTCTGAAAAAATATTGGCTTTTATTTTCAGCCCAACCAAAGCAGATTTTATTAGAGCCAAACATCAGAATCTGGCTTTTGTTCATCGACCCAGCAAGAATGAAGGACCCATGTTTAAATCAGATTTGAATAAGGTATGTTTTTTTTCTATTGGTTTAACTCTTTCAGCATGGGCTTGGTCCTTGGGACTGACCTCATAATCATTTTGTGCTTGTTATAGTTTTCATGCTATAACTTTTAAATTAGTAAGCAAATGTTAACAAAATTTGGCAGTTTATCAGTAAACATTACAATGCTTTCATATGCAAAATATAAATTTTTTTAATAATGTATTAAGGTTTGTAGAGCAATGTTTTTCTCATGCCTTTTTTCTTTTAGTATGTTGCCTATCTAACATGCAAAGTAATTTTAATTTTAAGATTAAAAATTATTTTATGCATCAGAAAATTTTCAAATTTCAAATATTTATAATGTCCAGATAGTTATCAGTAATGAATCTCTGTACGGGTTTGGTAGATTTGACAGATCTCATAACCACCAATAATATAAAACTGACCTTTGGTCTGTACAAAGTAACTTATCTTGGCTGTGTTTTAGTAGACTAGTATTTTAGTAAAATACAGTCACATTTCAATTATTATACATTATATATGTATATAGGTTATTGCTATTTAGAAATAAGTTATTAAACTTATTTTTCTTACATATAGAATTGTAAATAAAGAAGCAAGGCAAACAATTATCTCTTGTAGTTATAACCTTTGTACTCTGTTGCTGCTTGACATAAATCTAAACCTTTAAAAATTTTGCACGTGTAGGATATGAAACAAAATAATTTTTTGTAGGTTTTATATATACATTTGAATAACTAAAGTATCATAAATTATGACATCAATACCACAGAATACCACTATAATTTATTAAGCTTAGTAACTAAGATGTATTTTAATCTAAAAAAATATGAAATTTCGAGCAGACAAAAGACATACCCAATATCCTTGAAATATTGGTTCTGAAGAAAGAAATGGCATCCAAGCACATTAAAATGGCTGAGAAAGCCACTAGGGGGACATTCTGAGCTTCCGATTGGATATTCATGTCATATACAGAAGTAAGTGTATATAAGGGAGCGTTTCCAAAAATGGAAAGAGGTGGGAGGAGTGACACTGTGTTTGATTTATTACATGAGCAATACTTTCGCATATTGAAAAGATAAGAGGCTGTTATTTTAAATTCTAGCTCATCAATATCAGTAATTTGAGTTCCTAATTCATACGAAACTATAGACTTAGTATTTTGACATCACAAACATCTTATTTGAACCAGTGCTGCATTCAATATGCCACACAAAAATTGCTGTTTTATATTTACTTTTACATTAAGAAATTGAGTAAGGTATAATACTAAAATCTGAATTATAATCTACAGTTTGATATCAAAGATACTGACATAAATTCATGAAATAGTAATTCAATAAAATTTTGAATACAAGTCAAGAAACGTGATGACATGGCCTTTCACCTGTGACCTGTCTGCAAAGGGTTAATGTATAAAACCTATATCTGTACTAGTTCCCTCTAATGTTTGTTCTTAAATTCGGAGAGTGTAGTATTTACAATATTGGAAAAATATATCATCAAATATTTTTACAGGGTCTGTAAAAATCTATAAGACTAGAAAATGCAATGATAAAAAATAAATCAAGTTAAAAAATTCAGTAGGCAACTTTAACAGATAAACAGTTTTGTTAATCATTCCATTTTTTTTTTTAGTTGCAAGTCTTTAATTTAAGGTACTGAAATGACATTTTCATACATTTTTAATAAAAACCTTAATAAATAAGCTGATTATTTCAGTCTACCAATATAGTGTAAATGGACTGAAAACACTGTTAACTGTGAAGCTACTTAGCTCTAGACTGGATGTAAATTTTATAAACTATAAATGTTTTTTTAAACATATTTAATTTTGCAGCAGTTGAAAACAATAATAAGCAATCATTATGATTAGCAAGTTTACAGACATATAAAGAATCTAAATTGTTACAGAACATAAAGTAGCCCCACTTGAACCTGGGGTCTCCTGACTTGGCACACTGGATGATACAGAGCCTGTCAGTGCAGCTAAGGTTATGGCACTCACAACTGTGGAACGAAAGGGTCTTTGTCGAGACAAGATGGTATCACTGGAGATTTTGGTTGAGCTTTCTTCTTTCTTCTTAAGCAGGATTTTAGTTTTCAATGGAACTACATGAAGAGTGTCTGGGTGTTGCTGCAAGGTTACATGAAAAATATATAAAGATTTTGTTACTGATGTATTAGTTCTCCTTACAACTAATACATTAATATTTAGCTCAGTAGACTACTTTAAAAAATCTATAACTTGCTGCAAATTTGTGTGAAAAAAAAATACAAATCAGTTGTTTGAAACCAGTTTACAAGTTATTGTACTTAAATTGATTTTTCACAACACAAATAACTAAGAGGTTTGGGTATTGCAAAAAAATTTTTGTGATCTGATATTTTTATGGGTAAGCTCCTTCTTATCTTTTAAAGCAAAAACACACATACACATATATATAAGTGTAGGTACATATATATATATACACATATACACAAACACACACACATATAGGTACATATAGTTATACAACACATATATAAGAGTAGGTACATATACATACATACACACACATACATATATATATATATATATATACAAGAGTAGGTACATGCAGTTATAAAACACACATACAAGAGTAGATACATATACATACATGTATAAGTATGGGTACATATATATATTTATACTTGCATACACACACGACATATTGTAGAAGTTAACTGATTAATAATGGATATACTCTCTACTGAATTTTTTACCTTTCTGTATCATTTGTTTGTGTGACAATTTATTTTCACATTCAACAACAATTTAAGCATTTTATGTAACATTTAACACTCTATCGATACTTACTTTAACACTAAATATATCCAAGTATATAGGCTGAGCTGTTCCTTGACGTGCAGGAACAAATGGGCTCCAGATCAAGTAAAAATAAGAGCCATCACTGGTAAATTGGATTGTTGTGATGCTTTTCTCTTCAAGGTAGCCATTCGGGAGATGGACAACCATCTCTTGCTAGATCAAAGAAAGTTCACTATCAGAAAGATAACCATCTCTTGCTAGATTTTAAAAAAGTTCACTATTAGAAAGACAACCATCTGGAAAGAACATATAGCCATGAAATTTTAAAAAGTGTTAACTCCTGATGTTGAACATTTTTAAAACAACATCTCTGTACTGACACCAAACTTTATTTAAACACTCATACTAACCTTTAATGTATATGGATTCATCAGCAGTGCTAGCAAGGTGAAATCTTTATCCAGTGTATATGGTCTGTAAAGTAGCAATCCATTTCCCCAAGCCACCCTCCCACCACTAAGATCTGTGACACGGGAGTAGATGAATCCCCTAATAAACATCCAAGACCAAAGCTATTGGTATAAATGTTGAAAACAGTTACACTCACCAAGACAAGCTAAGTTATTTATTCTATTTTTTAAAGTAATTACTAAAACTTCATAACTGTTATTAACTAATTAATAACTAAGTAAACCAAACCTTTAGTAATGGTTAAAATACCAAACAGCTGAGCGAAACACCTAAAAATTCATAATACTTCACTTGAAAAATTACGGTACTCAGATATATGCCCCCAACCTTGCAATATATCTTGATTCGATGATTATTTTTCTATTTTCTATAGCATTAAGACTGACTTCTTTGGGCAGTGGAAATTTTAGAAGGTTTCTTCCTCTATTGGTCAGTGAATACATGATTCTTGAAGTCACTTCACTAAACCAATAATAGGTACTTAATTCCCATTTACCAGTCAAGCATAAACAGTACCTAAAGCTTTGTGTAGTTTGTTGCATTAAAAAACACAGATGCTCATATAAATTCACATTTGATCAAACAATTAGAGCAATTCATCAAAAAACAAGAAATATCAAGAATCCCAAAAGAATAAACTTGACAAAACGTACTTCTTGGGTGTGAAAAGCTATATGAAATAATAAAAAGACACTTTACTACTCTGTACTCTACACCTCTAATCATTACATTTTGTGAACCTCAAAATCACAAGCTACAAAGAATATACTTCTGTCATTTCTCTTTCATCTCATATTAAACTGCAAGAGAATACAGGTTCACCAGTTGTTATAATCGAACTTAAATCAGAAGCTACAAAGGGTAACTTGTGTCATCTATCTCCTCATCTTGCATTAAACAATAAGAGAATACAGTTTCATCATCTATTATAATCTAAACTAAATCAGAAGCTAAGGAGGATAAATTTCTGCCATCTATCTTCCCATCTTGTATTAAACTGCAACAGAATAAAGGTTCAGATATTTTTGAAATGCTAAAAATAAGAATTGAACCATCAGACTTTAATACTGCTGAGTATTTCTACATAATAAAGTTATTTTAATATACAATTTATTGCACTGTTCAATTTACAGTTAAAATGGACAATATTAAACACAAAAAAAATATATTCAGCATCTCAGTTCCTTTTCTTTTATTGACCCTACAGACAAAATATATTAAAAAACTCCAACACATGTTTAATGAAAAGGTTTTTCATCTTGAACTATTTATATTTCTGAAAATCAGGTCTCAGATAAAAAAACAAATCTACCCCTATTACTGTGACAAGTATGTATTATATAGTACCTTAGTGAAAACTACTGATGTTATTTTGTAAAACACACTTAATCCAGAGATACAATATATATATAGAAAACCAAACATATTACATTTTAAGCCTTCATGCCAGACAAAATTAAAGGAATCTTATTTAACTCTTTAAAAAACAAAAAAAACTGTTTTTCAGGAAATTAACATATGCATTCTTACCTCAATGTACCATATAAACCGGTTCCAACTTTAACTAGCCCTTGTCCATTTGAGCTTGTCATATATAGATGTTTTCCATCACAGGTAATGCTTCGACTGCCTTCAATGTCTGCAAAACCAAAAAAAATGCACATGTTCAAACTGATAAGAACAAAAAGAAAGAAATAAAAAGCTAAGTGTTGCTGGCTTACAGTTGGCTTCAGAATTACACTTTATTAGACTATAATAAAATGTATGTTATTGTTGATAAGACCTTAAAGTTATCTGTCAAGTGTTTTACAAATTTTTAACTTAAGAAAAGGGTTATTTTTGACCTTGTTCAAAACTGGTGAGGCCTCATTTGGAATATTACATGCAAGTCAGTTCTCCTTATAACACAATGGATATTGATATTGTGGAAAGATTGCAGAGAAAAACCACTAGAATGATTCCTTATTAAAATCAATTAATTTATGTTAACAGACTTAGTTTTGGACTATATTTTTCTAGAACACAGAACAATTAGGGAGGACTGGATTCAGCTATTCAAAACTGTTAGGATGATGATATCTTTCATGTTGTTATCTGTTTCAGCAATGTAATAAAGTGGTTGGAAATGCAAACTTGAATATCAGAGGCAAAACTTCTAAGCTTTGGAAGCCTAGATGCAGACTTGTTCTTACACAATTGTTTCTTTGGTTACTTATACAATTATCAGATGATTTGCCCAATCATGTAGTTTATGCTGTTAAAATTAAATTTTAACTATTTATAATTTTTTGGATAGTTTTATGGATATGAAGATTATATTTTAGTTTCACTAAAAAAAATAAACAGAAGTAGATTTTTAATACTTTTGTTTTTTGCTTTGTGTGCTTTTTGGACAAGACCTGAAGTTGACGAGTCAAATGGCCTTCTGTCACCTTGCCTTTCTTTATGCTCTTAAATAATAAATACATGCAGCAAGAAAAAATACAACTGTTGTAAAGAATGGAATAAGTAATGTCTTGTCCAGTTTGAGCCCCTACTACTTATAGAAAGACACTGATTGGCAAAGATAATTTTGGCAGTAAATGTGGTATATAGTTGAGCATTTCAATTATCACTATTTAGAACAAACTAAGTCAATGTCATCAAACTGTTCCTTTTTCTTATTATGGTCTGTTTACTGGTGATGGACATGTTCATTAAGTGGCATTCACAGTCTTCATGATCAGGTTCAACAACACTGACAATCTGATAAACAAGTATATGATCAAATAAATGTGTGAACAAAACTGCAGACAGAAATAAAGATGGACCTTGTTCATTCTTGTCTCCTTTCGAAGTTAATCTGTCTTCAAAAGGCCAGCTGAGAATATGTTTGGATCCTAAAACAGAAGATGTACACAAGTTTCCAACCTGCCTTAAGTTCTGTAAGGTGTCAGCAACTGGAAGGCTGTTTAACTCAGGCATCTTTTGCAACAGGTATATTACATGCAACATAGTCTGCAAAGAACCTCTAAAAAAAATTTATGAAATACATAAGTTTTTTAAGAAAAACTAATTTTTTAAACTCTTTTAACATGAGTAGTTAAGTGATCTTATAATTTGAAAAATTTCATTTTCCAGTTGATAAATTTTATAATATTTTGTTAAGCTTCTGTTGAAAATAATTTAAAACTAGTTGAAATGTAATTATAAAGATTAAATCTAGCACATTAATATTGTAGAAAACAATCTTTATCAATCAAAAATTATTAAATATAAATACATTCACAAAATAACTTTATGATTCCCCTGAATTATTATAAAAACTAATTAGATAAGATATTGAATTATGTATGCACTATCATAAAGTTTACAAAATAAATGGGTGCATTGAAATAACTCAAAAGTCTTTTATATAACAATGTTTTATACATGTGCAATAATCAATGACCAAAATCAAGCTACACTTTAACATACTAGCACTAAAATTGTCATATATTTGTTTACTATTAAATAACAAAACAATTCTATGTATACTATCACAAGCAAAAAGCAATTTCTATCAAGCAGTCTGATATATGTTTGAAAAGTTATAATTTTTTATAAATGTAAAAATACACCAATTAACATTCCTTTATAATATTTTTTGGAATAAACTACAATACTTGAATTTTAAGTTAAATGACATATTCTTGGAATAGTTTTTTCCCATTCTTATAACCACGACAAAAGATAAATAAATATTAAAATTTAGATCACTTTAATGCAGTTTCAAGATACCTTGCACAGGCTAAAGCAACCAAAGCTGCTGCAGTATTCTGTCGTTGGGGGGAATCTTTTACAATTGCATTGTCAAGATCTACGCTTAACCCTTCTTCCCCAAGCCAAGTGCACAAAAGATTTTCCAACCCTGAAAGGCAATCAGCAGGTTCCTTCATAAGACTTAGCGGAGGGCATTCTTTCAGACACTTTAATAATAGATTTGCTGTAATGCCACAAAGACTAGGGTCAGTTTTGCTTTGTGACTGAAGGAGAGGAAAAACCAGAAGCAAACTAACACGAGAAGAGAATGATGCTTGTTCCTGTTGATTTTCCGATGGTTTTTTTGAGTAGAAAATGAGCATCTTCTTGTCCAATGCTTCCTCTTTCACATTCGTCTAGAGCAAATTGTTTTTGAGCAGTCCATAAACCTCGTAACGCATTCAAACGGTACTCCAAAAGTCTTGTGTAAGCATTATTTTGAGTTCGGCATAGCCTTAAAATTCTATCATTCAAATCGTCCAGATTATCAGTTTCCACGGTAACAAATTCAACGTCACGTTCCCCTTCATCCCCTAGACTATTAACATCATGCGGCAATTCAACTAAATCTGTGATTCTTAGCAAACCATCATGCAAAAACAGAGAATCTTCTGTAAGAGACAACCACTGCGATTGATCCAAACGAGCTCGAGACATAATAAATACTCTTGTTCGAGATTTTTACTGAAGTCTCCGTGTTTATCTTAACTAAAATGTCACAGCTGTATACGTTCGTTTTCACGCATAAGTTACATCGTATGATTCCACCGGCAGTGACCATGAATGCTGTAGGATTGTACTGACCAATTACAATTGAGATTTAAGAGCAGCAGTGAAGAAATTCCTAGTGCTGACATCTAGCAAATATTATATGACTTTATTTTGCGCAACTGGAGTATTTATTTATTGATTGTCTAGATACATGTACGAAGGTCTCATAATGTATGTATAAAACTAGTTTCAAATAGAAAATATTTTTTTTACTATATGAAAAATAAAAAAATTAAAACGTAAATAACAAATATATTCTGTAACTTATTTCTGAAATACTTCCAAAATTGAAAGTTTGTAAAAGTTTATGTTCATCATTAGATACATAAGCCTTATTTCAAACTTCTTGGTATCATTAAGATTTTTATTCCATATTAAAAATGCTTTTAACATCAAAGAGAGCGAAAAATGATTGATTTTCCAATTCTTTTTTAGCGTCAATTATCTCACAAGTTATATGTGTACACTAAATTACTATTTGACGAATGGGACGTACACTTGAAATGTATGGTGTTTTGAAATGTCTTTTACTTACACAGTAAACTGATATTTATATAAGATTTATGCAGCATTGCTGCTCCTAATTTAGTCTCGTGAATCATTCAATCAAACAAGCTATTTATAATACAAATAAATAGATGTGAAGCCAAATCTATCATTCAATTTACTACTTGATAATTATGTTTTCATAATTAAAAGAAGTTGCTATAACATTTTAGTCAAAGACATGGTACAAATTCTAGAAATACAATATTATTTTCTTGATTTTATCACTATTGATTTTTTATATCTACAATCACAGTTTTACTATCATATATTTTATATAATATATTTAATTAACACTGGATGTACAAGAGTGACAATCAATATATTAGCGTCGATGGTGGGTGGTAGATGTTTCTGACTGGCTACTTTCACTTTCTAATAATGAAACGTCATTATTTCATTTCAAAACGAACAAACAATTAAATGTATTAGTTGTTATGAAAACAAATTGTTGTTCATTTATTTCTTCTATGGGTTTTATTGCGAAATGACATTGTAATGTATCGATTTTTAAAATACACTCAATGACCCGGATGTGGTCTGGTAATTATTGTACTCAGGCTGTAAATGCTAGGATTCCTAGTTTGTTTAAATCATTGCCTCTTAAAACGAGTTTCTTACTTAGAGCCATGGATGCGTTATATGAGTAACGTTTCAAAAACCACTGTTCGATTTAACAAAAGTAGCCCAAGAGTTGATAACGTATCTTGTTAAATAGGTTCCTTCCCTCTAGTCCGGCTCGCGAGGTCAGTTCATCCGGCCCGCCGCTGCACTGTGCCACAAATGAGCT